AGGAGGAGCAGCAGCAGCAGGAGTAAAAAGGAGAAGAATGATCAAAAAGCGAGACTCAAACTAATAGTGACAATAACCGTTGCACTAACAGTAACAACAACAATCATACAAAAAAACATTGTTGTCTCATAGAAATAATCGTCTAATAATATTGGCAACCGATCTTTGAAGCTTTGATTTCCCTTGGGAGACGGCCAGCGGACCGAACTTCACATCCACAGCACCCCCTTGGGAGACAGTCCAGAGACATTGCATGGCGCTACCAGGTGCTTGTATTCACCATATGAACTATAGTCTAAACTCCTAGCATCCCCCTTAAAAACCCCTATAGTAGTCCCCTATATAATCCCTTATATAGCCCCTTTCAGGAGTTTGGATTATGGCTCATGTAGAAGGCTGAAGAATTACCAGTATCATGGCAGGGTCTATTTGACGCAGGTGGTGCGAAAGCTTCAGCAGCAGCCATGAGGGTAATCACCTCTACCTAATCTCTAAGGGATTTGGAGCCCCAGTAGAAATCATAATTTCAGCTAAATATTAGGATTGTTGGTAATAGAAATTAATGATCATTTTCAGGAACCTTGTAGTAATCCCTGGGTTTCAGGCCAAATTCCCAACGCCCCCAGTAACAAACGTTCCCTGTAACGTGTTGGTACGACACGGGGAGGGTCTTAGTACAGGAGGTTGGGGGAAGGTTTAAGCTGAGAGGGAGGGAAACATGCTGCAGCGAGTTAGAGGAAGATGAGACACACCCAGGACATATCACTAGCAGATTGTCGTGCATATAAACGTCACCCAATCGACGGGCATAAAATGATCAAAGCATCCCACAGCCATGAAAAGAAATGGGGGTTTCCCAAAATTAGGGGTACTTTTTTGGGGATCCCCATAATAAGGACCATAGTATATGGGGGTCTATATTAAGGTCCCCTTATTTTGGGAAACTACCAAATTCTTAAGGAAAGGCAGCTGTGCCACCAGAGCCCCGCACTATTGTTGATGGACGCAAGACAGCATGATCTGGACAAACCCTACAGTAGGAATTATTGCAGCACTTCATAAGTGGGTCGTGGTCTTGTAATAGGCACTCCACGATAGGGACTTGCAACTATTTTAAAATGAATGTGATGAAGGGTGCGAGCCTTTGCCACAGCTGGGGCCGAAACTGTCCAAGTTCGTCATCTCAAGGAGGTCGACCAACATGTTGGGGCAAGCCTTGATAATATGAGGATACTGGGGGATGTATTAGAAGAATGCGAGATCCAATGCCACAGAACATGGAAAATTAAATGGAAACTGGTGTACACGGGGATAAGAAGGATCTATATAGGGTCTGAGGGTTACTTGAAGGGTCAGAGGACTAAGCAAGTGCAAATACAAGCCCTCAAGTCACATGGTAACCCCAGTTACCTCTATTTTCAATCTACTACTCAAAATCGTTGATCCGCGTGTGGAGTCCCAAAATGGCGCTGTGGCCCTTGACTGCAACTGGAAAGGCGTTCTGAAGCTTACCTCGGAGATTTACTTACGGAGACTGCTGCTTGTGGATCTGGACTGCTTCAGTTACTGCCTCCGCGCCCTTTCATGGGGGCAAACCCTTCCTGCAATTTGATCATGAAGGCGGCAAGGCCGCATGTGTTCACTGAAGGTTGCTCTGCAACCAATCATCTGCGCACAAGACCGCATGCCAAGCACCAGCTGAATGCTGCAGACTCCACTGCAAAGCACTCAGTTCAAACCCCCGCGCAGGCTGTGGGGCTCAGAATTGTCTAGCTTTTAGATGTCCGGCAAATCCTGCGATGTGAATCTAGGTGTGTGGCTGTCATGATGTTTTGCCGCCGCAGAATGCGAGTTCCGTCTTCTGCGGATGCTGCCATCGACTGCCAAGACAATTGATCCCTGTACAAGGATGCTGGGCAGTCAATGGACGATCACCTGCTCGCTGCGTCGCCCCCCTCTTAGACATCTCGAAACTTGGCTCAACCCCAAACAGGGCCACAGCGTTGTGGCTAAACTTTCCCAGTTCAGTCTTACATAACTTACAAGGACCTCCCGCAAAGGTCTCAACCTTGCAAAGGGCAGCAGAAAGCGGAAGAGCCACATCGGCAACACTGCCTATGTGCTCAGCTGATATGGTAGTTTCGCAAAATAAGGGGACCCCAATGTAGACCCCAACACACTACAATCCTGGTCATGGGGACTCAGAATGGTACCCCTAATTTTGGGAAAATCCCATATCCCAGCTTATGTCTAACAGCCTCAGTCTATCCATCCGTAATGGCCCACCTTGTCGCAATGGATCTCAAAATCACGGTGATCGTAGGGGCTGCCAAGAGTTATCCAGTTGTCACACGGTCCGCAGAAAATTGCCCTGCCATCACTCCTCCTGGCTCCAGCACAAGGATGCTGCCAGTTCTCATCCCAGCCAGTATTGAGCTTCTGCAGCTCAAATTCCTGGGTTGCTGTTAAGGAACTTAAATTAAGTTACTATATTGCGTATATGTAGTAAATAATTGGGTTTACCCAATATAGTAACTTAATTTAAGTTCCTTAACAGCAACCCAGATTCCTCATCCCGTGCGCGCATGAGAGCCTGGCTGCGCTCTGTCCCACGCTGTTCTTCACGGCGCTTTGGCAAAGCATCGCCCACCTTGGCAGACTTCTTGCGCTCAGTCTCCGCTCTCTGAAGCTTCTGCTTGTTGTCGGCGGCCTGCTTTTGGGCTTTTAGGCGGTCTGCCATGGCTTGCTTTCCCCGTTCTTGCGCCGTGCGGCGTCCAGAGTCCTCTGCAGGACGTGAGTTGTTATCCTTCAAGTCCTCGGCGCCAGCGGTAGGAGCCTTTGCCGTCCAGAAGTCATCAAACCACGAATCCTCGTTCTCTTTGGTTTCTTCTGTTCCCTTGACAGGAGCTTGCAGGGCTTGCGGTTCTGCTTTGCCAGAAGGGTCCATGCCCTGCTTTGAGAAAGGCTTCCCAGCATGCTCTGCTGTCCTGCCATCGGCTTTGCTGATCCTTGTTACACTGCCCCTCCCTCTTCGCAGAGCCGCATTGCTGGGCAAACACTGGAGAGGCACAGCTGTATCCAGGTCCATAGAAGCCAAGGAAGTGGCATTTGAGCCAGCCAAGAAGATGCCACGACAAAACAAACGGGGCAAAGCCGTGCCGAAGCCACGATCACCACACATCTGCAGAGCAGCAGCTCTTAGATCACCCAATGTCGAGCCCGGAGGGAGCTGTAAATCCACTTCTGACACACCTGCAGCCTCATGCCCCAGGTCATCATCATCTGGCACAAGCAGGCGTATGAAGAATGGTTCCTTGTCGTCAAGCAGCGCAGACTGGACAAAGTGTAAGCGTTGCCCAAGCATATGCGGGAGATCGCTGATGGCCTGCAAGAGTGATGCACAGTGGCTGTGCAACTCTTCCGATGGTGCCACTTGCAGAAGTGGGCAGTTGACCTGCATTGCCACGATCGAGACAGCTGCTGCAGGATCCACGGCTCCTGCTGCACAAAGGACCTCTGAGCCCTGTTCGAGAAAACGCCGGAGGATCCGCTGTGCTTTTGTCGGATCGTTTTCCTGGAGCTTGCTGACCTCTCTCCTTGAGAACAGCTCCACGAAATTTCTGAGCTGACGCAAAGCTTCTGCGCCCGAGCTTGTAGTCTGACTCCTGACAATCTCCTCGCATAACTTGCTGGCACGAGCCCACATGTCTCCCAACTGACGATGGAGCTTGCGTCTTGCAGCTTCAAACTTGCCACGATGGAAGTCCTGATTGTGCAAACTCTCAGGCTCGACGTCCTCGGCCGATCGCCGTGAGCGCTTCTTGCGCTTGGGAAACATTTTGCGAAGCTCCTCATCTGCGTCCCAACTGTCTTCAGACAGTTCCGAGTCCTCCTCCTCTTCCTCCTCCTTTTCGTCTTCCTCCTTCCCTTTGCTCTTCGAGGATCTCTTCCCGGGCCCGGCCTCTGATTTGTCCTTGCCCTCCAGCTCGTAATGCTTGGGTTCCACCAGCAAGTCACGCATCTCCTGCAGCAGTCGAAAGCGTTCGGCGTCGCCGCCCTTGTCTGGGTGCAGCTCCAAGGCACGTTTCTTGAAGGCCTTCTTGATGTCTTCCTGGCTGGCTGTCCCTTCTCCGGCCACGCCGAGGAAGGACCACGCAGCTCGCCGCTCCAGTGTCTTCAGCCGTCCAGTGGCCTTCTCGCGCCAGTCTTGCAAGGCATGCACTTCTTCCTGCAAGTCCTCATCACTCATTCGCTGCATGCGCTTCTCCAGACCCTTCTTACGGTTCATGAGCTCCTCCATGAGGCGCTTGGGGTCCCATGGACCAAACTTCATTTCCATGTCAACACGGTCCAGCACGCCTCCTTTTGCCATCCGCTTTGGGTGGCCAGAGTACGCTAAGCATCCCTCCTCCTCTACCCCGGACACTCGTCCAAGCAGAGGCAACACGACAACACCCGGCCCGAAGAGTGTCACCGCCTTGGCCACTTCATGATTTGCATGCCAAATGAGCAGATCGATCGATCGGCTAGAAGCTTGATAACCTGGGTTGCTGTTAAGAAACTTCAAATAATAAGCTACTATAAGAAGGGGCAACCCTATTATTCACTATATACTGAGCCATAATCTTAACTCCTCAGAGGGGGTTACGTAAGGGATTAGACTATGGCTCATGTTATGGCAGCGCAATTTAGCTTCCTTAACAGCAAGCCAGAAGCTGCCGTCTTTCCCATCAGTTAGGGGCCCTATACAACCCCATATAACCCCTATATAGCCCCAGCATAACTTAGGGAAATGGAATCTACTTTTTAGGTTTTAGGAGGGAAGCTGCCGTCTTTCCCATCCTCATGAACCACAATGGCCGTCTGGGAGGACTGCTCGTCGGGAGCCGAATCTTGCCGAGCCATGGCTCACCATGAGAAGCCCAGCAAACATCTGGGGGGGTTCCTAAAATCGCGGTACTTTTTTGGGGGTCCCTGAAATGGTGACTGGGGGGTGGTAGGGGTTCTATAAGGATCTACGGATTCATTTTTGGAGATATGGTGTGTATGGTATTAAGGATACCTTCCCTGTAATAAGGACTATAGTATTTTGGGGTTGACATTGGGGTCTCCCTATTGTAGGGAAACTACCATTTGAGCTGGAATAAGAATGTCAGCTGGAATGAATACACTCTACTGGAATGAAGATGTGTAATTGCCATCCAAAATGCGTCTGCATGAGGGTTGGACATCGGTTCTGACTAAAAAGTTTGGTGAGGCATGCGAAAGCAAATCTCACATCTGAGCGGAAACTAGCTAGCAGCGGATTACCTGCGGGCTTGGGCCAAAATCGCTGCTGCAAAGCCCTGTCTCCCTTGCGCTTGCGGATGCGCCTGTATCTCAACACTATAAGCCCAGTTACACTAGATGCTTCAACCCCAAACCTTGGAAGCCCAGTCCGGTTCACTCGCAGTTTTCGAGATTGTCCTGCCTGCGCGCCAATGGTGACATCTCCCAGGCTGGCATTGCACTGCGAAGCCCACCTGTTGTCAAGCACAGCTCCACGGGAGTCGAACTAGGATCACGAGGGTAGCGTAGAGGTAGCTGCATGCCCGAAACTGGGAAAAGCTCACTTTAGGCTGGGTTTAGGTGGGGAAGCTTGGGAACGGGTGAGCAGCATCCTACCAACCCTGAAAGCTGACCTGAGACCAACTCCTGTCAGAGTCCCCCAAAAGCAACATTGTAGCCCAGCATGGAGGGATCTGACTCTTTGCATCCCAAATTTGCTTGGCTGGGCCTCATGTGAGCCCTAGTATCCCCCTTAATAACCCTCACAGTCGTCCTCTATATAAAACCCTATATAACCCCCTTTAAGGAGTTTAGATTACGGCTCATGTCATGCCTTTGCTCTGAAACCTTACCTGGTATGCAGCCTCAAAAGCCTCCAAACCTACGCACAGGTATACTCCGCAAAGAAATCTACAGGGGGCATGGCCATCATCTAACTGGTTGTTAGTAGGGAATACAGGAATATAATCCCTATATCATCCCTACATAACATATACCCTAATTCCCTACTAACTCCCAGTAAGTCATGAAAAGCTCAATCCAACCTGTCCGCAGCTTCCTTCCACCGAGGTCCAGACACAATCTCAGTCCGTGGAGTGAGTGGCAGTATCGTTGCATTGGTGGCATTTGGAATACCTTCAGCTTACTGGCTCTTAGTCGGGAATAAGGGAATATTTAATAAAGGGAGTATATGGGGGCTATATACCCTTATTCCCTACT